CTGAAAATGGTAATCAGCGAAAATCAGCATATAAATATTAACAGAAGTTTATATCATTAATATACGTATAAATATCAGAAACATGCTGAATGAGCAATTAGGTCCAACGGACATAACAGCAACACAATAGTTCTCCTGAGTAAAATAAGTGAAAGGATATCAAATACTGCAAAAAAAATTATTCTAATTAGCAAAAAATTTATTCATATTTCTGTGATTGTTTCTTAGCACTAATCAATAGAAAAATTGTATTCATGATGGAACCTTAGATAGAATATTAATATATTATAGAATGATCATCAGAAAGAGACAGTAATGGAAATACGTTATTGCAAAAATTAATTTTGTATGCATTAACAGTCAGGGCACATTTTTCACACACACAAATACACTCACGTGTACGTCAGGCCCATATTGGAGTATGTGGCACCAGTTTGGAACCCACACCTAGCCAAGCACGTAAAGAAGCTAGAGAAAGTGCAAGGGTTTGCAACAAGACTAGTCCCAGAGCTAAGAGGTATGTCCTACGAGGAGAGGCTAAGGGAAATCAACCTGACGATACTGGAGGACAGGAGAGATAGGGGGGACATGAAAAGGACATACAAAATACTGAGAGGAATTGACAAAGTGGACAAAGACAGGATGTTCCAGAGATGGGACACAACAACCAGGGGACATAGTTGGAAGTTGAAGACACAGATGAATCACAGGGATGTTAGGAAGTATTTCTTCAGCCACAGAGTAGTCAGGAAGTGGAATAGTTTGGGAAGCGATGTAGTGGAGGCAGGATCCATACATAGCTTTAAGCAGAGGTATGATAAATCTCACAGTTCAGGGAGAGTGACCTAGTAGCGACCAGTGAAGAGGCGGGGCCAGGAGCTTGGACTCCATCCCTGCAACCTCAACTAGGTGAGTACAACTAGGTGAGTACACACACACACCTGCAACTACAATTAGGTGAGTACACACACACACAGACACACACACAATAATAGACAATAATAGACGAAGTCTTCCCACCGGAATATCAGATCCTGAGGAAAAGCAGAAGGAGCAGAGGGGGAGGAGGGGTTGCACTGCTCATAAAAAACCAATGGAGTTTTGAGGAAATGGAAGGCATGGACGAGATTGGAGAAAGGGACTACATAGCAGGTACAACTTAATCTGGGGAACATAAGGTAGTCATTGCAGTGATGTATAACCCACCACAGAACTGCAGGAGGCCAAGAGAGGAATATGATGAGAACAACAGAGCGATGGCGCACACACTGACTGAGGTGGCACGAAGAACTCAAACTTGCAGAGCAAAGTTACTGGTTGTGGGTGATTTCAACCACAGGGAGATAGATTGGGAAAACCTGGAGTCTCACAGGGGCCTCGAAACATGGAGAACCAAGATGATGGATGTGGTACTGGAAAACCTCGTGCATCAACACATCAGGGACACTACCAGAGAGAGAGGGGAGGATGAACCAGCAAGACTGGACCTTAGGTTCACCCTGAGTAGCTCAGACATTGATGACACCACATATGAGAGGCCACTCGGAGCTAGTGACCACGTAGTCCTGAGTTTTGATTGCATAGTAGAGTTGCAAGTGGAGAGGTAACAGGAGTCGAAGGGGAAAAGACAAACTATAAAAGGGGACTACACAGGTATGAGGAACTTCCTGAGGGAGGTGCAGTGGGACAGAGAAATGGTAGGAAAGTCAGGAAATGAAATGATGGAGTATGTAACAACAAAATGCAATGAGGCAGAGGAAAGGTTTGCTCCCAAGGGCAACAGAAACAACGGAAAGACCAAAGCGAGTCCTTGGTTTACCCAAAAGTGCAGGGAGGCAAAAACTAACTGCATTAGAGTAAGGAAGAGGTATAGAAGGCAAAGGACCCAGGAAAACAAGGAGATCAGTCGAAGAGCCAGAAACGAATATGCAGAGATAAGGAGGGAGGCCCAGCGACAGTACGAAAACGACATTGCATCGAATGCCAAGTCTGACCCGAAACTGCTGTTTAGCCACATTACGAGAAAGACAACAATCAAAAATCAGGTGATCAGGCTGAGGAAAGAAGGTGAGGAACTCACAAGAACCGATTAAGAGGTATGCGAGGAGCTCAACAGGAGATTTAAGGAAGTATTCACAGTGGATACATGAAGGACTGGGGGAAGACAGGTCAGAGGGGAACACCAACAGGGAATAGACCAACAAGTGCTGGATTATATGCACACAACTGAGGAGGAGGTGAAGAAGCTGCTAAGTGACCTTGATACCTCAAAGGTAATGGGACCGGACATCTCCCGTGGGTCCTCAGGGAGGGAGCAGATATACTGTGTGTGCCATTAACCACAATCTTCAACACATCCCTTGAAACTGGGCAACTACCTGAGGTATGGAAGACCACAAATGTAGTTCCTATTTTTAAAAAAGGAGACAGAAAAGAGGCACTAAATTACAGACCAGTGTCACTGACGTGTATAGTATGCAAAGTCATGGAGAAGATTATCAGGAGGAGAGTGGTGGAGCACCTGGAACGGAACAAGATTATAAACGACAACCAGCACGGATTCATGGAAAGCAAATCCTGTGTCACAAACCTTCTGGAGTTTTATGACAAAGTTACAGTTGTAAGACACGAGAGAGAGGGGTGGGTTGACTGCATTTTCTTGGACTGCAAGAAGGCCTTCGACACAGTTCCTCACAGGAGACTAGTGCAGAAACTAGAGGATCAGGTGTGTATAACAGGAAAGCCAGTGCAATGGATCAGAGAATACCTGACAGGGAGGCAGCAACGAGTTATGGTTTGGGATGAGGTATCACAGTGGGCACCTGTGACGAGCGGGGTCCCACAGGGGTCTGTCCTAGGGCCAGTGCTATTTCTGGTATATGTGAATGAGATGATGAAAGGGATAGACTCAGAAGTGCCCCTGTTCGCTGATGATGTGAAGTTAATGAGGAGAATTAAATCAGATGAGGATCAGGCTGGACACCTGGTCCAGCAACTGGCTTCTTAAATTCAACCCGGCCAAATGGAAAATCATGAAGATTGGGGAAGGGCAAAGAAGACCCCAGACAGAGTATAGGCTAGGTGGCCAAGGACTGCAAACCTCGCTCAAGGAGAAAGATCTTGGGGTGACTATATCACCGAGCATGCTGCAGCATATGGACGCCTGGCAAACCTGAGAATAGCATTCCGATACCTTAGTAAGGAATCAGGAGCATATTGAAGTATGCAGCACCAATCTGGAACCCACACTGGCTCAAACACGTCAAGAAATTAGAGAAAGTGCAAAGGTTTGCAACAAGGCTAGTTCCGGAGCTCAGGGGTATGTTCTACGAAGAAAGGTTGAGAGAAATCGGACTGACGACATTGGAGGACAGGAGGATCAGGGAAGACATGATAACGGTGATACGGTGTACAGTGTCTTGAACGATTTCTTACTAAGGCATCGGAACGCTATTCTCAGGTTTGGCAAGCGCCTATATGCTGCAGTAGTTATCTGGTTGATATGTGCTTCCGGAGATGTGCTCGGTGTTATACTCACTCCAAGATCTTTCTCCTTGAGCATGGTTTGCAGTCTTTGGCCACCTAGCCTGCGGTCTTCTTTGCCCTTCTCCGATCTTCATGACTTTGCATTTGGCAGGGGGTTAAATTCGAGATGTCAGTGGTTTAACCAGCTGTCCAGCCTGTCCAGGTCCCTTTGAAATCCTGCCTGATCCTCATCTGATTTAATTCTCTTCATTATCTGCGAACAGGGACACTTCTGAGTCTATCCCTTCCATCATGTCATTCACATACACCAAAAATAGCACTGGACCTAGGACCGACCCCTGTGGGACCCCACTCGTCACAGGTGCCCATTGTGATACTTCATCATGTACCATGACTCGTTGTTGCCTCCCTGTCAGGTATTCTCTGATCCACTGCAGTGCCCTACTTGTGTGTACTCACCTATTTTTGGTTGCATGGGTCGAGACTCAGTTCCTGACCCCGCCTCTTCACTGATCGCTACTAGGTCCTCTCTCTCTCTACTTCCAGAGCTTTGCCATACCTTGTCTTAAAGCTATGTATGGTTCCTGCCTCCACTACATCACTTGTTAGGCTATTCCACTTCCTGACGACTCTATGACTGAAGAAATACTTCCTAACATCCCTCTGACTCGTCTGAGGGATGTGACCCTTTGTTTCTGTGTCCCCTTTCTAGAACAACCTGTCTCTGTCTACCTTATCTATTCCACGCAGTATTTTGTATGTCGTTTTCATGTCTTCCCTGACCCGCCGGTCCTCCAATGTTGTCAGTCCAATTTCCCTCAACCTTTCTTCCTAAGACATACCCCTGAGCTCCGGAACTAGCCTTGTTGCAAACCTTTGCACTTTCTCTAATTTCCTGACGTGTTTGACCAGGTGTGGGTTCCAAACTGGTGCTGCATACTCCAGTATGAGCCTGATGTACTCAGTGTACTGTGTCTTGAACAATTCCTTACTAAGGTATCGGAACGCTATTCTAAGGTTTGCCAGGCGCCCGTATGCTGCAGCAGTTATCTGATTGATGTGTGCCTCCGGAGACATGCTCAGTGTTCTGGTCACCCCAAGATCTTTCTCCTTGAGCGAGGTTTGCAATTCTTGGCCACCTAGTCTATACTCAGTCTGCAGTCTTCTTTTCTCCTATCTTCCTGACTTTGCATTTGACAGGGTTGAATTCAAGAAGCCAGTTGCTGAACCACGTGTCCTGCCTGTGCAGGTCTCTTTGAAGTCCTGCCTGGTCCTCATCTGATTTAATTCTCCTCATTATTAACTTCACATCATCTGCGAACAGGGACACTTCTGAGTCTATCCCTTCCATCATGTTATTCACATATACCAGAAATAGCACTGGTCCTAGGACCGACCCCTGTGGGACCACACTCGTCACAGGTGCCCACTGATACCTCATCCCATGCCATGACTCGTTGTTGCCTCCCTGTCAGGTATTCTCTGATCCATTGCAGTGCCCTTCCTGTTATACG